TCCCCCGTTCTTCCTCTACCTGCTGCCCTCCATTTCCCTGAGCGTTTCCCATTTGCCCCTGGCCCCTGCGTGGCGGCAAACGCCCGCGCCCCCCCGCAGTTGAAAGATGCACCTTGCGCTCATCCTCCAATCCACTCGTGAGGCGCAAGTCTTGATTCCACACTGACACTGGCAAGTGACGTCGAGGCCCCGGCAAATCCGACAGGCGCGATCGGCCCCCTCGAATGGGGGGCGAACCAATACGTAAGACGATGTCGCAAAAATAAGTTTGGAATTTGGGGATCCGCGCAAGAAACTAAGCCACTCGCCCAAAGTGTAGCTCTGTGCCTGTCCGACCTTCACCTTCCTCTCCGGCGCCCCCCCCCTCTTCCTGCACCCCCCCCGTTCCCCTGCAATCTCCTCTCCGCCCCCCCGCCTCCTCTTCCTGCACCCCCCTCCGCCTCTGCCTCCGCCTCTGCCAGACCCCAGGAGAGAGGGGGGGGGAGGGCCAGAGCGAGGAGGGGGGGGGGGAGAGGGGAGGGGGGGGACCGGAGTGAGGGGGGGGGGGCAGGAGAGAGGGGGGGGAAAGAAGAGAGGGGGGGGGACAGGAGAGAGGGGGGGAAGACAGGAGAAAGGCAGGAGAGGTGGGGGGGCAGGAGAGAGGGGGGGGGACAGACACAGGAGAGAGGGGGGGGGGAGGCAGGACAGGAGAGAGGGGGGGAGGGGCAGGAGAGAGAGGGGAGGGACAGGAGAGAGGGGGGAAGGGGAAGGGGGGGGGTAGGACAGAGGGGGGGGGGACAGGAGAGAGGAGGGGGGGGAAAGGAGAGAGGGGGGTGGGGGACACAAGAGACGGGGGGGGACAGGAGAGAAGAGAGGGGGTTGGGGGGCCGGGACCATCACCATATCCATCACCATCACCATCGTCACATCATCATCACCATCATCACCATCATCATCATCAGCATCATCATCATCATCATCATCATCATCACCATCACCATCATCATCATCATCATCATCATCATCATCATCATCATCATCATCATCGTCATCATCATCATCATCATCATCATCATCATCATCATCTGGGGCGCCCTGGATCGGCGGCACTGGCCAGAGACCACTGCAATCTCAGATGGGAGCAGGGGTCCTGACTAATTTCGAGGAAATCACAAGCGCGGGAGCACCGATCCTGAGAAATATCTGAAAATTTGAAGGAAGTCTCAGGCGGTAACCGCTGTTGGTGAAATCCGGGGGGCCAGGGGCACAGTTTGAGCACCAACAGTTCCCCTGTCAAAAACAAGGTTCGAGCGTCGAGGGGCACACTCTGATTGAGAAAAAACAGTTTGCACCTGTGAGAGGGGATCAACAATAATCATACGTGAGAAATGAGAGTTCAACGATCCTTTACTGTTCGCTCTTATCTACTCGAGTGTCCGTTAACGCGTGCTTCCCAAACCCTCGATACCTGCCCTCTTCGTCTCCGATCGTACCCCACTTGGGGGGTATACCTTTCTTCCCTGCAGGCCGGGCCTCAACAAGCGGCGGGGCGGCCGCAGACCGTCGGCCTCGCCAGAGGCAGCGCTGACCGGCGGCAGCCCGACCGCAAGAGGGACGGACAGGGGACCGACCACGACGACGACGACGACGACGACGACGACGACGACGACGACGACGACGAAGACGGCGACGGCGACGGCGACGGCGACGGCGACGGCGACGACGACGACGACGACGAGCGAGAGAAAGAACGACAGCAGGGCCACGAAGGGCACGAAGTGAGCCACGAAGGGCGACAGCGGGGATAAGAAGGGAATGCGTATGGGGCCACGAAGAGCGCGAACGAGCGGGGGCCACGAAGGGCAGATAATGCGGGGCCACAGAAGGCAACGACGGGGCCACTGAGGGTAGCAACTGGGCCACGTAGGACAGCGAGGGGGCCACACAGGGCGACAGCGGCGCCACGCAGGGCAAACACATGGGGCCACGACGGGCGCGAACGAGCGGGGGCCACAAAGGGCATACGTATATTGGGCCGCGGAGGGCAAGGACGCGGCCACTGAGGGCAGCAACGGGGCCACGAAGGGCAGCGAGGGGGCCACGAAGGGCGACAACATGGTCACCACGGGCATGCATGTAGGGCTAGGACGGGCGCGAACGAGCGGGGGCCACGAAAGGCATACACATATGGGGCCACGACGGGCAGCGAGGGGGCCACGAAGGGCTGCAACGGGGCCACGAAGGGCAGCGATGGGGCCACGAAGGGCTGCAACGGGGTCACGAAGGGCAGCGAGTGGGCCACGAGGGGCTGCAACGAGGCACGAAAGGCAGCGAGACGAGACGGCCACGAAGGGCTGCAACGGGGCCACGAAGGGCAGCGAGTGGGCCACGAGGGGCTGCAACGGGGCCACGAAGGGCAGCGAGGGGGCCACGAAGGGCTGCAACGGGGCCACGAAGGGCAGCGAGGGGACCACGAAGGGCTGCAACAGGGCCACGAAGGGCAACGAGGGGGCCACGAAGGGCTGCAACGGGGCCGCGAAGAGCAGCGAAGGGGCCACGAGGGGCTGCAACGGGGCCACAAAGGGCAGCGAGACGGCCACGAAGGGCTGCAACGAGGCACGAAAGGCAGCGAGACGAGACGGCCACGAAGGGCTGCAACGGGGCCACGAAGGGCAGCGAGTGGGCCACGAGGGGCTGCAACGGGGCCACGAAGGGCAGCGAGGGGGCCACGAAGGGCTGCAACGGAGCCACGAAGGTCAGCGAGATCCCGATTCCTAAATAATCTGTGAGTCAGTCCTAAATGTGAGCGCGACTCCTGGGTGCCTGGTTGTCGGGAGCGCGGCGCTTGAGTAAATTGCAGGGGAGTCCAACGCAAGGGCGCTATTCTTGAGTACATTGCAAGCAAATCTCCAGCGAGAGCGCGACTCCGGAGCGCCGAGAGAGCGACTCCTGTATGAATTGTCAGGAAATCCCAAGCGAGAACGCGATTCCTGAGTAAAATGCGAAGACGTCTCAATCGGGAGCGGGGGTCCTGGCTAAATTGTGAGGTCTCATGCGGGAGCCGTTGTTGTTGTAACCCGGGGGCCAGGGGCCCAGTTTGAGGAGAAAGACTTTCCCTGATAAAACGAACAGGGTACGAGCGCCGGGAGGGGCACTTCAATTGAACAAAACTGTGCACAGGAGGGGGGATCAACACGAATTATTCTTCAGTAGTGATAGTTCAACAGCAACAAAAAGCAATAATCATTTTAAGACTGTTCGCTCTTACTGGCACGCGTGTCTTGCATTACCCCAACCTTCGATTTTCGCCCACTTCGTCTTCCATTGCACCCCCTTTCGGTGGGGATATCTTCCTTGTCGGCCGCTGACTGAAGTGCGAAGATGTCTCGAGCGAGAGCGCCGTTCCTGAGTTCGGGGGCCTCTCTGGCAAGTGGCTCTCGGACAACCTATGGAGAAATATCGAACGGAAACCCTTGTCGCCGTGTCTGGGCTTCCACCAAATTGATTGAATTACAAGGATAAGTCTCGAGCGAGAGCGCAACTCTTGAGTTCGGGAGCCTATCTGACAAGGACCTTTGCGAATACATCTTGAGAAAGTATCGAACAAGAGCCCTTGTCGTCGTAGTTGGACCTCCACCAATTTGACTGAATCGCAAGAAGGCCTCGAGCGAGAGCGCCTTTCCTGAGTTCGGTGGCCTTCCTGGCCAGGGGCTCTCGGATTAAATCGTGAGGAAGAATCAAACAGGAGCCCTTGTCGTCGTGGCTGGGCCTCCACCAACTTGCCCGGATTGCGAGGAAATCTCGAACGAAAGCGCCGTTCCTGAGTTCGGGGGGCCTCTCTGGCCAGGGTGTCTCGGGGTAAATTGTAAAGAAAAGTCGGGCGGGAGCCGTTGTCCTCGTAGCCGGCCGGGCCTCCAAGGGCCCAGATTTACACTCAAGCCAACGCTCGAGCGGGAGCCTCGTTTTCAGAGAAAATGTAGCCAGCGATAGCACGCGGAACCGCTTCTGGAGATCAACAATTCATAGATATATATATATGTATACATATATATATATATATATACGTATATATATAAATATATATATATATATATGTATATTTTCTCTAGAAATGAATATTCAACACCAATCCGCACCGCAGAACCTCACTCCAGCCACGCGCCCTGGGACAGAGAATGAGCGCTCGGCCCCCTCACTCTGATACGTTTCTAGTTTTTCCTCGCCGCTGCGGGCTGGTGTTGGCCGTTGCGTGCTGCCGTTTCACGCCGCTTGGAGTTGCTGCGTACCGCTGTGTGGTGCTAGCTGATGCTGCGAGTTTGTTGGTGCGCATTGCTGCGTGTTGCAGATCTTGCGCCAGATTGGTTGTACTTGCTGCTGCTGCTTGTTGGCTGCATGGTGCTCACGACTGGTAACTTGGCTTGCTGATGCAGGCTGCAGCTGCGTGCTGCCGTTGTTACCGCGATGCCTGCTTCGCGATGCGTGCTGCTGCTGCTGCTGCTGCTGCTGCTGCTGCTGTTCGCTGTTGCTGCTTGATGATACAGGGAGCAGTTTTCTGACGCAACCTGCTGCTCGTGAGGGGATTCGGCAGTCAGGAGCAATGCGCGAGGAGTCAGGATCGAAATGGGAGAAGCGAGGGGGCGATCAGCGCAGAACGAAGTGGGAGGGGCGACGGCCGAGGAGGGTGGAGCGAGGCGGGAGGAAGGACCGAGGCGGTAGGAGGAGGGAGGGAGGGGCGAGCCAAGAGGGAGGAGCGAGTGGCCAGCAGATGCAGAAACGATGAGCGCGGAGGAGAGAACCGAGGAGCCAAGGGGCAAGGAGAGAGGGGTGCGGGGGGCGGGAGCCCCCTGAAGCTCTTCGGGACTGCCTGTGGTCCCTCCAGGGTCTCCTCTGGGCCATCTCGGCGGGTGCTGTTTTGCGCGCAGCCTGAAGGGCGCACCGTGCCCGGCCTGGTCGATGTGTGTTCTCATTTGGGCAGGCGGCCTTCTGGCACGCGGTCGGTGCGCACGAGCTGACCGCGGTGCTGTAGCTGACAACGTCGGGCGCCAGCTTCACCTCCCGCATCTCGCCGAGCAGCGCCAGAGCCCGCCACCACTGCCCGCCCTTCTCGCACGAACTGATCCCAGCATTGTAGCTGACTAGCTCTGACCTGTGGCCTGCCAGCCACGAAACAAGTCCGAGATGACGCGTTGGGCCACGGCAGAGAAGTTGCCAAAAGGCTGTCGCGACGACGCTTGGCCCGAGCATCGCCTGTGCTGTTGCTGCCTGCAGCTGCAGGGTGCTGCTGCCTGCGGTATGGTGCTGCTGCTTCTTATGTTTGCTGTGCTGCCGTTGTTTGCTGCGGAGTGCTGGTGTTCGCTGATGCTGCTTGAGGCTGCTGTGTCGTTTCTTGGTACCGTTGTACATACGCGACCTGCAGCTCTTGAGTGGAGCGAGGAGCGAGGAGCAAGGAGCGAGGAGTGGGGGCGTTTTAGAGCCAACTTCGGGCCTTGTTGGACCTTTTTCGGCCTCTTGGGCTTCCACGGGGACCTCTCCAGCCTCCTGGGCGGCAATTGGGGCCGCTGGGAGCTGTTTCGGGGAGATTCGGGGACGCAGAAACGTTCCTGGCCGTCTTGAACGTCTTGGGTCCGTATTGGCAGCCTCTCGGACGGTCTTGGGATCTACTTAGGCCGTCTTGGAGCCATGTTGGGCCGTCTTGGAGCCCTCTCGCGGGCCGCGTCCTGAGGCCCGAGGAAGGAAGGCAGCGAAAATCATACAAAAACCGTACGCAGCACAGCAGCTTTTGCTTCTGGAAGCTCTCTCGGGGGGCACTCTTGGAGCCTTCTTGGGCCGTGTCTGGAGCGCCTTGGCCCGTCTGGAAGCCATGCCAGGTCGCGCTGGAGCGCTCTTGGACGGTCTTGGGGCTCATCGGGTCGTCTCCGAACCCTCTTCCAACTTCCCCAAATCGCCTGGTGGTGCGCTGGGGCCCGCTGGGCCGATTTTTACCCCTGATTGAGCCGCTAGACCCTTATCGTACGCGCAGGCTCCTGCATGGTACGAGAAGTGGCGTCGGGCTCTAGCTTCTCCTTCCGCATCACGCGAAGAAGAGCAATCGCCCATGGCCACTGCCCCAATTTCTCGCAGGCGCTGATTCCAGCGTTGCAGCTGACGACGTTTGGCTTCAACTTTGTCCTGAACATGTCACTGAGCAGCGCCAGAGCCCGCTGCCACTGCTCGCCCTTCTCGCACGCGCTGATCCCAGCGCTGTAGCTGACGACGTCGGGCCCAAGCTTCGAGCCCGACATCTCGCTGAGCAGCGCAAGAGCCCGCTGCCACTGACCGCCCTTTCTGCACGCGCTGATCCCAGCGCTGTAGCTAATAATGTTGGGATGCACTTTCGCCTGCCGCATCTGCCGAAGAAGCGCAAGAGCCCACTGCCACTGTTCGCTCTTCTCGCAAGCGCTGATTCCAGCGCTGTAGCTGACAACGTCAGGCGACAGTTTGGCCTCCCACATCTCGCTGAACAGCGCCAAAGCCCGCCGCCACTGCCCGCCCTTCTCGCACGAACTGATCCCAGCGTTGTAGCTGACTGTAGCTGACCCGTGGCCTACCGGCCACGAAACAAGTCCGAGATGGCGCGTTGGACCAGGACATAGATATTGCCGAAAGGCTTTCGTGATGGCTTTGGGCCCGAACTTCGCCTGTGCTGTTGCTGCCTGCAGCTGCAGGGTGCAGGGTGCTGCTGCCTGCGGCATGCTGTTACTGCTGCCTATATTTGCGGTGGCACCGTTGCCTGCTGCGGACTGCTGTTGTTCGCTGTTGGTGCTTGAGGCTGCAGGGTGCTGCTTCTTGGTGCCCATGGTAGATGACGCAACCTGCAGCTCGTGAGTGGATCTGAGAACGGGGAGCAAGGAACAATGAGTCAGGGTCGAGGGTGAGGTGGCGGAAGGGAGGAGCGATCAGCGAGGAGCACGGAGCGAGAAACGAGGAGCGAGGAGCGACGGTCGAGAAGAGAGAGAGAGGGAGAGCGAGGACGAGAAAGAGAAAGGGAAAGAGGCAGAGAAAGAGAACGAGAGAGAACGAGAGAGACAAGGAAAGATACGGGAGAGCAGAAGCGGAGAGGGGTAGGCAGGCGCCAGTAGCCAGGAAGGAGAGACGATCGGCCAGGTGAGAGATGGAAGGAGCGAGGTGGCGTGAGCACAAGGGAGCTAGAAGCGAGATGAGGGAGGCGAGGGGCGAGGATAGAGCGGGGAGGAGCGATGCCCGTGGAGCGAGGAGCAAGGAGCGAGAAAGGAGGCATGAGAAGAAGCCTGCACACACATGTCTCCATGGCTTCGGCGCGCGTGTGGCTGAACATCTGGTCCCCTTCGCTCATGAAGCTCTCTTGGGTGGTTGGCGCGGTCACAGAGCTGCCCGAAGATCTTTCCTCGGAAGTCGCTTCGAGGCGAATTTTGGAGTGCCTTGAGGCCTCTCGGGGCCCTCTTAGGGCCTGTTTTGGGCATCTCGGGAGCGGGGGGGCTCCTGGGAGCGTGCTGGCGTTTTCTGGGATCATCCTGGAACGGATGGCGCGAAGTGTCACTTCGAATTCCCCCTCCTGGGCTTGGGGCCCTCTTGGGCGCCTCTTGAACCGTCCTGGGGCCCCCTTGGGCCGTCTTGGGCTCTCACTGGGGCCTCCGAGGCTATCGGGGGAATTCGGGGAGTGTGCAGGGCCCTGCTGGAACGCTGCGAAAGCAAAACAAACGGGGCTTTCCTGGGAGCCCTTGTGGATCTCTCTTAGGGCGTCTTCGGGGCCTCTCGGGCAGTTGGGGCCGTCTTGGGCGCCTCTTCGGCCGTCTTTGGGCTCCGTCGTGGCCCGAGGCCCGTGGGGCTGTCGGGTGTGCCCCGGAGCGTGTTTCAGCCGTCTGGGGCCTGTCGGAGCTAAAAACACATCGGCACTTGATGCACAGTACCTTCTGGCACGCAGAGGTTCCTGCATTGTACAAGATGCTAGGGCTGGTTCGTGAACAAACTTCCACGACAGCTTAATCGCATGCAAGGGTGAGCATAACTTGCTTACATGTCTGCTTGTCTACTATTATGCCTGCGAAGTTTGCTAGCTTGATAGGCTGATCGTGGTTTACCAGATCACCTGCGGTCTGTCGTGGTTGTTTCATTGTTCGCCCGTCCGTTCGCTGCCGCCTCCGCCCGCTTGCTGATGCTTGGTGCTGCTTGGCGCAACCTCGCATGCTCAGATGTGTTCACATGCATGCTGCTCATGTTTGCCGCTACGGGCTGGTGCTGGCCGTTGCATGCTCCCGCTTGATGCAAAGTGGGGCTGCTTGAAGCGGCTTAGCGCTGCTGCATGCTGCTGATTTTGGTGCTGCTTCATGCTGCGCGACTGCTAGTGCACACGGTCTCCAGCTGCCAGTGTTGCGTGATGCTGGTTATACGCGCAGCTGCAGCTTGCTGGTGCTGCCTGTGGACGCAGGGTGCTCCCCGCTGAAGACCCTGCTTGCTGCCACAGGGCGCTGCTGCGTGCTGAATGCTGCTGTGTGCTGTGTTATGTTTGTTTGGCTGGTTGTGTGCTGCCGCTGCTGCTGCACTGCGTGCTTCGTGCTGCGTGCTGCGTGCTGCTGCTGCTGCTGCTGCAGGGTGACGCATCTCGCCACTTCTGCTTGCTGACGCAGGTTGCTGCTCGTTGGAGCACCGAGGATCGAGGAGCAAGAAGCGAGGAGTCTGGATCGAGGAGGGAGGATCGAGAAGCGAGGGACGATTGGCAAGAAGGAGCCAGAAGAGAGGAGCGACGGGCGATGAGAGAGGGGCGAGGAGGGTGGGTGAGCCGATGAGCCAGGGTGAGCCGAGGAGGAGGAGAGAGGTGCGAGTAGCCAAGAGGGAGGAGCGAAGGGCAAATTAAGAGGTAGGAGGAGCGGGCAGGAGTGAGGAGTGAGGAGCTAGGAGCAAGGAGAGAAAGGCGAGTGGCGCGGACCAGTTGGCGAGGATCAAAAAGCATGGAGCGTGGCCCTCCGTCCTGGCTCCCAATCGTGGCCTTCCATCGCGGAGGACCCCAGCAATGCGTGCAACTGTTAAGATTCTTCTGCCGCGTGGATGCCACCTTCAGTTTCCCGTGACTTGCTGGGCGGCTCTTGGGAGGCCCCTTGAAGCCTCTGTGGTCGTCCATGGGCCTCTTGGAGCCGCTTGGAGCCTCTTGGGGCCCCCACGGGTCGCACTTGACGACAACTTTGGCCATCTCGGGCTCTGTCGAGGGCTATCTGGGGCCGTGCCAACGGCATCTTGGAGCCCCCTTGGGGGGCTTGGCGGGGGCCTCCGGGAGGCGCCAGGGGACTTGGAAGGCCTCTTGATGCAGACCCTTCTGGCACGAACAGGGCCCTGCAAAGTAGAAGGGATTAGAGACCACCGTGGGTCAGATTCGCAGTGGGCAGAACCTGTCTCTTGCTCGAAGCTACCAAATGCGACATCCTAGTTGTGGCCGCTACGTGCTGCTGCTTGCTTCCTTCGCGTGGTGACGTTGCCAGCCAGTGCTGAGTGCTGAGGATTTGCGCTGCTCCTGCTGCTTTGCGATCTGCTTGCTTGCCGCTACTTGCGGCGATTGGCTCTCCAGGTCGCTGGTACTGCCAATTCTGCTGCTGCAGGAAACTCTGAGCATGGATCTGCCGCCTTTCGGGGCTCTCGTGGGGCCTCTCTGGACCATCTTGAAACCATCTTGAGGTTTCATGGCCCCCCCCTCGGGGGTCACGCAAGGCCTTCTTTAGCTTTCTTGGGGGTCTGGTCTGGCATACGAATCTCGGGGTCCCCCCGGAGCCCGGGGCGAACAGGTACTGGTACTGCTATACTCCCTGGACCTCTCCCAGGGTGCGTTCTGACCAGAATTCCGAAGCGAATCCAGTGGTGGTGATGGTGACGAGGGCCTCCCAGTACGCCCCAAATGGCGAACACGGGGTGAGGGTAGCGGTATTGGTAACTGTTCCTCCTCCGAGCTCTCTTGGGGGCCTGCTGGGGATGTCTTCGGGACCGTCTCGGCGCAGTCCTGGATCGGCGTGTTTTAGCGACGTGTTTTTAACGACGTGTTTTTACGGATACCAGCTCTGTGTGGTTAACCACGTCTTCTGTTTGGTTAACTTACCCCGTTCGGCGTGGACTGTCCGGAGGGCAGGTGACGGGGAGCGAGGGACGGCCATCTTGGGCAAGCCTGGCCTTTGGGGCCTCGTTGGCTGGCCTCAACGCTTCGTGGAGGGGGCCGAGGGTCGAGGGTCGCTCTGAGTACGTGCCGCGCGGCGCCCGCGCGGCAGCATGCCCTCAGGGCTCAGCGCCTTCTTCGCCCAGCGGTCGTTACTCATCGCCTCCACGCGCATGCCCCACTGACGCTGCCGGGTCGTCAGCTCGGCGTCCCAATGCGGCACTCCGCACTCATGCATCGCGCGCTTCGCCTCCGGAGTCACCCGCCGCAACCATTCGATGCACGTGTCTAATTCTTCATCTGGCTCTCGTTTGATCCGGCTCCGCCCCAGTATCATGCGAACCATCTTCAGCTGAGTGGCTCTTCATGGAGGGGCGCGGTCGATAAATGAGGGGGTAAGGGAGGTGCACTTCTCGGGCCCCACAGGCCCCCTTCTGGGTCCAATTTGGGCCCCTCAGGGGCCCTCAAGGGCCCGTTTCCTGCAGCCCTCGCTGCCCCCCCACTCAGCGCCCTCTCCGTTACGCGACGCCCCAACTGGATCTGTGGAGATTGCCCTGGGTTGTCAAGGAGCCCTCGGAAGCAGAAAAGTGGACAGAGCAGACGACCCCGGCAGAGACCTCCACTGCAGCAAAGGTGAAGAGGCAGGTCGAGGGCAGTGGCGAGAGCACGGCCATGTGCTCCGCAGGTTGCTTCTCCACACGAGGATCGAGACCGTCCAGACCCAACATGTAGCGGGCAGTGAGGCGACAGTACGATTCCTTCAAACATTGTCAGGAGGTCTCACGCGACAGCCCTGACAGACATCAAACGACCTCGGGCGCTTGTCCTGGGCTCTCCGTCCCCTCTCTGGGGCTCTCCTGCGGTCCTCTTGTTACCTCGTGCGGTGGACTATAGGCTCCCCGTCCTCACTGTGGGCGGTCCTTCTCTGCACCCCTCATAGAGCCCTCTGGCGATGAGCTGCTGGCATCAGAGGAGAGCCAGCGAAAGCACATGCACGTTGCATGGCTTTCTCTTCACATGGGGGCATGCGCAAAGCCAGCTTGGAGCCTACCCGGGCCAGCGCCTCGCCCACTCCCGGACTCGTCCTGAAGGCCGTGTGGGCCAGCCCGGAACCCCACGGGGCCGTCTGAAGCCATCTGCGGCCGTGTGGGGCCGTCGAGGCCTCCGGCACAGACCAACGGGACCCTTCTGACTGACGACGCCGCGGGCACGCGATGGTCGCAGTGTTGCAGTCCAGATTAGGTCGGGCTCCAGTTTCGCCTCCAATATGTCACTGAACAACGCCAGGGCCCGCTGCCACTGCTCGCCAATCCCGCACGCGCTGATCCCGGCGTTGTAGCTGGCTACATCTGGCCTCAGCTTCGCCTCCAACATGATGCTTAACAGCGCCATTGCCCGCTGCCACTGTCCACTCTTCTCGCAAGCGCTGATCCCGGCGCTGTAGATGATGACGTCGGGCTCCACATTAGAATCCCACATCTCGCTGAGCAGAGCCAAAGCCTGCTGCCACTGCCCGCCCTTCTGGCACGCGCTGATCCCAGCGCTGTAGCTGACCAAGGCTGACCCATGAACTGCCGGTCACGAAGTCTCTCCGAGAAGACGCGTGGAGTCAGAGCGGAAAGTTTGTCGGAACGTTGCAACGATGACGTTGGGCCAGAACTTCACCTTTGCTGCTGCTGCCAGCGGCTGCAGGTTACTGCTGCCTGCTGCATGCTGGTGCTTGCTGTTTGCGTCCGCAGGTGCAGCTGGCTGCGGACTACGTGCTACTGCTGTTCGATGTTGTTGCTTGAGGCTGTAGGGTGCTGCTTCTCGCTAATTTATCTTGCCTTCTGCGGAATGCGTGCTAGCTGCTAGCTGCCGAACGAGGAGACAGGAGCGAGAAACGAGAAGCGACGAGCAATGAAAGAGCGGCAATGATAGAAGAGCGTAGAGCGTGGAGCATGGAGCGGGAGGGAGGCTTGCGGGGCGGACGGCACACGAATGTCCCAATGACCTCGGCTCGCGTGTGGCCGAAAACTGTCTCCTCTTGGGTCACTCATGGTGCCCTCCTCGGGCCTTCTTGGGATCGTGTTTGGGACTTCTTGGTCTCCCTCGGGGCCCTCGCTGGCCTCCTAGGGCCATCTGTGCGTCCCATGCGGCCTCCAGGTGCCGGTGTGGGATAGGTCGTGGGGTGCTTTGGAAGGGCTGCGGGGGCATCTTGGGGCGGTCTTGGGCTGTCTTGGGGCCAGCTTGGAGGCCGACTGGGCCCATCTGCGGCCATGTCGCGAGTATGAGGCATGATGCGTAACGGGCCCTCCTGGGAGCCCTTGTAGGCCTCAGGGGCCCGATTAGAGGTGTCCCAAGCCCATTGCGGAGCGATCAATAGCCGAAAAGCGTGAAGATGTACAATTCACGGAATACGATAACAGAATATTGCTATTTTCGCATGCCAGCATCCCTCGGCGTGGACATCGCAGGGTCTCTCGGGGCCACCTCGGTATCGTCTTGGGGTATCTTGGGGGCTCTGTGAGACCGCCTGTGCCCCTCCGAAGTCCCCGCAGAACAGTTGGAGGAGCCCCGAAGCCGTCAGGACTGTTCAGGACGGTTTTCTGGACTCCTTCGGCTTTCGGGGGGTGCCTACACTTCCGCGGCTCAGGACCCTTCTGGCGCGCGCGGGGGCCTGCACTGTAGACGAAATAACGTTGGGCTCCATCTTCGCCTCCCACATCTCACTGAGCAACGACAGTGCCCGTTGCCATTCTCCACCTTTCCTGCAGGCGCTGACAGTCGCAATGTAGTGGCCTGGGAAGACCTTCAGACCTGATTGAATCCCCTCGCGGAGCAACTGCAATGCGGCGCTCCATTGTGTCGCTCGGCCGCACTGCTTGAGCGACGCTTCCAATGGAGCAGCAGCGCCTTCTCGAGACCCTCGCGTGATGCCAAGCATCCTTGCACATATGGCGCCACGGCGGCGGGGGCCCGGTATGATCTGGCTGGAGGAAAGGGCCGACCTTGAGCCGACATGACTTGATCCATCGTGTCGTAAAGTCGCAGTTCCCCACAGGAGGGATACCATTGGAGGTGAGCTGGAGCAGTGCCGCGCTTTTAAAGCCACTTGGCATCCAAGCGTGAAGCCAAGGAGTGGAGCCTGCGTGGCCTCTTCAAACGAGTCGAGCGGACTGGTCGCCGCCGATGCCCCCGCCCCCGCAAGCCCACATGAAATCGCACATGAATACCATTGGAGGTCTCCACCACGCTTGGGCGTGGATGCATGGAGGGGGGGACATGAATTGGGCGGGGGAAGGGCGGTGCACCCCTCGGGCCCCCAAGGCCCTCTCCTGGGCCCTGAAAGGCCCTGGAGGAGGATAAGGAGGAGGAGGATAAGGAGGAGGAGGAGGAGGAGGAGGAGGAGGAGGAGGATGCTGATGATGATGAGGCGGAGGAGAAGTAAACCTCTTGGGAGCCCCTTGGGGCACTCTTGGGGTCTCGGGAGCTTCCTGGGAGCCTCTGTCTGATTCAGGTCCTGCCGAGGCTCCAGCAGCCCCGCCGCCCCGCGGCCCTCTCGCGGCCCCCCGCGGCTCCGCGGCGTGGGGGGGGGGCACGACAGAAGACTCGCCAGACTTGCCGCGGCACTCCGAGACCCGATTGAGGGTGCGACTCTCAAAGACTGCCCAGCCCAGCCGACTATCTTGTCGGCAGCGCTGGTGGACGCGGGCGCGACTGCCGAGCTGGCGAGCCGCGCTGGACACCGGGCAGGTTGGAGCGGGAGGAGGAGCAGAGGGCGGCCGCGGAGGAGGCGGGCGGAAGGAGGCCCCACCGAGGAGGATCCACGGGCCAGCCCGCTCACGAGCCACCCAGCTTCGCGCTGCGCGCCGTGCGGGGCGCGATCACGTCCTCGCGCCCTCGCCCTCGGAGAGGGGCTGCTCTCCGGCCCCGGACCGCGCAGCACGAGGCGCGGCCGCCCTCGGCGCTCCTGGCGGGTGGCCAGTCCAGCGTGCTGCGCCCCGAGGGAGGGGGGGAGGCGGAGCGGTGGGAGCGGGGGGGGAAGGGAGGGGAAGGGTGGGTAGGGGCGAACGACGCCCATTCTATCTCCGTGATTTGGTCGGATCCGAGCCGAAACGGGATCGCAGACCCCACGGGGCACATAGCAGACCATGTGGGGTCCCTGTTGGGGCTCACAGAGGGCCCCCACGGGAAGGCTTCGCTTGCGCCGCCCAATGGGATCTAAGAGACCTCGCGTTGGACCGCGTTGGACCTTTCCGAGCCGCCTAAGATCATTTCCGAACGCCTCTCGCGCGAGTCGCGGGGTCAGGCGGGGAAGGGCCGAAGGCCTTGAATCAGTTCAGGGTCCTACCATTCAGTCTCTCAGGGTCGTCCGCCGGCGTCCGCAATCAAGGCAAAATATTAGGAATCCCGATGGTCGAGCCGACCCCATCGGCTCTGAGTCGGACTCCCTGGGGCTGCCTGAGGCTTCGCGCCAAGCACTCGTCGAGCCTCGACGCTGCCCGAACATACTCCCAATCCCTAGCCCTAGACCTCCGCCTAATCCTAAACTCATATCTTTCTACCCTAGCCCAAGAGGCCCAAGAGACCGCCAATGCCCCAAATAGGCCCCGAACCAAACAAGACAACACCAAACAAAAACAAACTAACAAAACATAGCACACAGCACAGCACAACATAACCAACAACAGGCAACAAAAACAAAAAAAACATCTGAGCCCCCGAGGGAGCCGTCGCGCGCCCAAAACTGGACATTCATCACCAAGAAAGAGGGCTGACAGGACAAGCCGAAGGCATTCCGATATCATTCATGTGCGGGTATCTCCCGAGCGTGGGTCGATCTTCCTTCCCTATTCCTCCTCTCCCCTCCCCTCCTCGTCCTCATTTTTCTTCTCCCCCTCCTTCGTGTTCTCGTTGAGGGGAGGCGAGGGGGGAATGGAGGGAGAGAGTTTCAGCCATGCACCCCGCCGACATCTGACCTCACTCGTCACATTCGTCGGCCTGCAAGCGCAGCTAGGAAAACTATGCCGCAAGCGCGAGGGGGGCATTTCAACTTTCCAGGGACACTTGAACTTTTTATCTTGTTGAGGTGACGGTGAAATCCACCCCTCGCAGGTCCTAGAAGCGGCCCCCTAGTAGCTTAAAAGCGAAGGCCAAGCCGCCCTGGCCCTCGGGTCGGCCCTAAAATTGGCCAGCGGCCACAGCAACCCAAGCTGTGTGCCATTACGACGCCCAGAAAACGTGCTTGCACATCTTCATCATGGCATCCCTAGTTCCCCACAAGTCGGCGTCAGCAAACTCGGTGACGTCACCGCCGCCCCCCTGAGGCTGCGATGGGGCTGGCTTGATCTCCTCTGGGAAGATGGCCCTCGTGAGCTCGAAGGCGTAGCCCAGGCTCTGGGCCCCCTGGGGGGCCTCCCCAGCCCCGCCCTCCTCGTCCTTCTCGCGGTCCTTCTCGCCCTCCTTCGTAACCTCCGTGCCCCCGTCGTGGTAGCCCAGCTGGTGAAGGGGGTTCTTTTTGTTGTCGAACCCCTCCAGCTGCTCGGTGAAGGCGCTCGGGTCCAAGCGCAGCCGCTTGAGGCTCAGGCGCAGGACGACCTGCGGGTCGCCGACCTTGCCGCCAGGGACGAGGATCTCCTCGCCCGCGGCGCTGGTGGGAGAGGGCGGCGGTGCGGAGTGGGAAGTTGAGACGTGGAGGAGTGGAGCAATGGAGCAAGGGGGAGGTTGAGCATTAAAGAGGAGGAGTGCGACGATAACGGCGAGGATGTTCAGGGATCTCCTCCTCCTCCACCTCCTCCACCTCCTCATCCTCCTCCTCCTCCTCCTTCTCCTCCTCCACCCACCTCCGCCTCCTCCACACATAGGAAGCAAACGCAGGAGGTGATTGTCGGCCATGCGTTACCCCTGAAGTCCTGCTGGCAAATGTCGGACGTCATGGTGGGGCGCTTCAGGCCGCCGTTGGCCTTCAACGTGCGAACCCACCACCCAACACTCATAGTGGCAGAGTCGTGGCCAGGACCAAACTCGGGGCGCTTGACGTTCACGTGGAAGTCCATGCCACAAACGCTAACCAACCCAGCCTTGTAACAACCAATCTTGCCAGTGATCGGCTGGCCAGGAGTCAACACCACTCTGCCGACCAACGTCCATGTCAACGAGCTGGCGACCTTCTCAACGTCTTCATTGTTGCCGAGCTGCACAAACAAGCCACGGGGCGGAGCATCCTTGTTCCCAGGGTTCCCATTCCCATGCGGCATGGCCTCGAGAATGCCCACTCCACCAGTGCTGTCGAGTTCGTGCAAGCGGATCAATTCCGCCGTCGCATAACCAGCAATCCGCTCCGCCTGGGTGAAGGGGCAGTCGATGCGAGACATCGTCGCGCGGAGGACAACGTAGTTCTTGGAGCCAACCTTCAAAGGAAGGAAAAGGAAGAGGGCCAGGGTTGTTATCAGTAGCGCAATGCGGACCTCAGAGGGGAAGGAGGACGGTTGGAGGGAGGATGGGGGGGGGGGGGGGAGGCAGGGGGGATAGGATAACATAAGATAACGAAGGGCGGAGGGAGGGAGGGAGGGGAGGGTGAGAGAAAGAGAGCGAGAGAGAGAGAGACCGAGAGAGAGAGAGAGAGAGAAAAAAAAAAAAGAGAGAGCGAGAGAGAGAGGGAGAGAGAGAGAGAGAGAGAGGGAAAGCGAGAGAGAGGGAGCGTGCGCTGGAATGACGGCACTTACCATCATTGCTGCTATCCCTCTCTCCGCTCTCCCTCTCTCTCTCTCTCCACTTACTCGAACTACTATATTTTTAAATTTGCGTTGAGATCCTCGACCCCATTAGTTACTCCCCCATGTGCCTTCTTGAGCGCCTGACACTGAGCCCCCAGAGCCGCGTCCACGGCCTTCCGGGTTGATGAGCACAACGCGTCGACGTGGCCCTTCACCTGTTGAACCGCACTGTCCCACTGCTGCTTGTCGGCGGCTTCCGTCATGCGCAACTCGTCAAGGTGAATGCGGGTGAGGGCCTCGGACTTGGCCCCGAGGGGGCCTCTATCTTCCTCCTTCCTCCTCCTCCTCCTCCTCCTCCTCCTCCTCCTCATCCCCCCTCCTCATCCTTTTCCTCCTCCTCCCTCCATCCTCGTCCGCCTCCCGAGCCCTCGCTCATTTTGTTTATATCACACCCACTCCTCCACCTGCCTCCCCCTCCTCTTCCTGATTGTGTTCCTGTCAATTTCACCACCCCTATCGTTCTATCGTTTTCCTGCCGGTTGCGGGCCTTCGCGAAGTCTGCCTTGCACTTCAGAGAGGCTGCGGGTTCGGCAGGCGATGGCGGCGCAGAAGCGCTCGCTGGTGCTGCTGGTGCTGGCTGCTCCGCGTGGGCGGCAGTGGAGGCGTCGCCTTCTGCCGCTGCCTCTAAAACATCATCTGCCTTTGCTGGTGCCGTTTTCTCTGAGTATTTTGCTTTCAATGCCTCCAGAGTCAGAGCCATGAATTTCTTGTACAGCGCCTCCTGAAGTTGCAGGCCAGGGTGGCAGAAGGAAGAGGGGGATGATGAAGAGGCGGAGGAGGAGGTGGAGAAGGGACGAGAAGGAGCAGAAGGAGAAGGAGGATGAGAGGGGAAAAAGGAGGAGGAGGGGGAGAAGGGAGGAAGGAATGGAGGTGGAAAAGGAAGGAATTAGGAGAAGGACGTGGATGGCGTGGATCCTCTACGCGAGTCCACTCCTCCTCGGTCCTCTGTTTGAACTGATGGTTGGCCAAGCCAACGCATTTGCTCAGCGCCGACCCCCACGCAGTCACCCACTCGCCCTTGTCCTTCAGGAGGAAGTCCATAGAGAAAAAGCTGTTCTTGAAAGCTGCAATCTCCATCACTTTCTGAGCTTGCTCCAAAAACTGTTGCGCGGCTTTGAGCTGGCCAGCGCACTCGTCGGAGATATCCTGGGACTCACGTATCTATATGTATCCATTTCTCTGTCTCTCTACTGCTCTCTCTCTCCCCCCTCTCTCTCTCTCCCTCTCTTTCTCTCTCTCTCTCTCTCTCTGTCTGTCTGTCTGTCTCTCTCCCTCTCTGTCTCTCTCTCTCTCTCTCTCTCTTACTTCCTCCCCCTTCTCACGCTGCCAATTCGCTCGCCGCCGAACCCCCGCCCCCCAGAAGGCAGCTGCGGCTGGCGCCCTAGCGGGCGTCGGACGCCGCCTCCGGCGAGCCGAGGCGCGCGCGGGATGGGGGCAGATGACGAAGCAGGGCGTGCCTTCTCCTCTTCTTCGTCGCCCTCCTCCTCCTCCTCCTCCTCCTCCTCCACCTGCTCCTCCTCCTCCTCCTCCTCCTCCGCCCCCCTCCTCCTTCCCCCCTGCTGCCATCCCCTCGTTGTCTAGCGAACCCTGCAGTTATCCTCTCACGTCCTCCTCCGACTACCCACCTGCTCGAACGCCCCTTTTCTACTCTACGGGATTTGCCCGCGCCCTGTCCAGGGGTTCAGCCACGATGACCGAGCATTCGCGCAGCGCGGCGTGCATGTAGGTAGTCCGCACGGCCACGTGCTGCTCCAGCACATCTCGACATTGATTCCAAATGTCACACACTTGGGAAAAGACAGGAGAAATCTTCGCAATGTCTTTCAGGTCGCAGGCCGATGGCAAAATCAAATCGTTGAAATCCTTGGCAAGCTTGAACACAGACGTATCATGTGAATCAGTCCAAGCATCGTGCAGCAAACTGAGCAGATTCGTCAGCCACTCATTCTCGGATGCATTCGGCACAAAAATGGATGGCAGGTGCTTCCACGCGTGAGACAGCATCTTGGCAAGAACAGGGTGTGTTGCTCGGAGCCTCTGATCAGACACATTGCCGATGCTGCACAAGTCGTGACTACTGACAAACGCCTTCGCATGTTGAATGAGGCGCGGCGTGTTTGAAGCTTCGGCCATAAGCGCAATCATGCTACCGCCGTCGATCCCCAGCTCGGTCAGGCAGTCATCTTCGTCGCCATCCTCCTCTTCGGCCGGCCCCTCCTCCTCCGCCTCCTCATCCACGGCCGCCGCCGCCGCATTCTTCTGTGCCTTTCGTTTATCCTTCTTCTGGTCGCCGTCATCGCCCCCCTCATCCTCTTCGCGGCCCACGTGCACGTGCTGTAGCCAAGCAGAGAGGTGCTTCTGGAGCCTGAGGAGAAGGAGGGCGACGACGAGGACAAGGGAGGCGGAACGGGGAGGAGGGGGCTACGACGAAGAAGGAGAGAGAGAGAGAGGACTTCGAAAGAGTCCGAGGAGTAAGGAGAAGAGGGGTCGGAAGAGTCCAGGGGCCTGGGGCAAGGATTCCTCAAAGATAGTTCTGGGGCCGAGGGGGGGAAGGGATCGGGAAAGCCCCCTGGCGTTCCTGGAGCGAAGGTGTGGGAATGTTGCGCCCAGTGAACTTGGCCCAGGTGGCGAACGTCAGAAACCCATCCACGCAAGTTTTGGAATTCTTTTGCTTCTCCGTGAAAGCTGGGACCTGGGTCTTCCCGCCCACCAAAGCGAATTTGATGGAGTACCGGATAGCTGCTAGGATGTCGCGTTTCTTCAGCAAATGGGAAGGGACATGGGCCGTTGATTGGTTCACCATAAGAATTACCTCCTCGATGAAAATAGTAGAATTCAAAGTAAGCTGCTGCCCTGGCGTCGGAGTCGTCGACGGCGCCTCCGTAACCTTGGCGGTCCTGCAGAGTGTCACTTTCACGGTCGCCCCCTCCATGGCGTCACTCTCACTGGCGTTCAAAGTAAGTTCAAAGTATTCAGACCCTGAAACCCTGAAAGGGTGGCCCTCTGGGGGCCCAGGATCTTTACGCCATGGCAAGGGATTGGAGGGAGAGGGCAGGATGAGCGCACTCAGCTTGCCCCCACCCTGCTCTGTCCCCATCCCCCCCCCTGCCCCGCCCGCAGGCGGCGGCGGCAACCGGCGGGAGACTGCAGGCTGCAAGGGGCGCGGCCTCCAGGACTCGGAACCAAAAGCGCCGCGGGGCCGCTAGCAGGGGCCTTCTTCGCCCTCTTCGCCCTCTCGTCCTACCCCTCACTCCTCCTTCTCCGATCCTCCTCCCTCCCCCCACCTTTGACTCCCGATATCCTGCGCCTCTTCTTTGCTGGGGCCTCTGATTCGACAATAAACAGGCTCGCAACGGTCCCTTGGTTGAAATCAAGCTCGTCCTGGGACGTGGCAAGGGTCTGCCCCTGGGGGGCAAAGACGAGTTTCAAGTGCGTGCCATCTGAGAGGGTCTGAATGGCAAACTCTGCGCCGCGCTCATCCGCGTCGCAGGGGCACGTGAACTTGCACAGTTCAATCAAGCATACCATGTGGGATTTCGTCAACGGCCGGCGGGCGAATAGAGTCCAAATCTGTTCCAGGCACAACAGCATGTCGTGAGAGCTGAACGTTCCAGCGGAGGGGTTCATGGCCACGAAGTCGGCGCACCTCCAACGAAAAAACGAGGGGGCGCGCCTGCGAAGAGTTGTGGACCACAACCCCTATCCCTGAACCCATAGGATCTCCAGCGTTTTTTTTCCCACGGGCCCGCGGACCGTTCCTGGAGAGGGGGCGTCCTGGTAGACCTTCGCGGGTTGCACCCCCCCGAGCCTGTTCATCTCTTCGGAAAATTGGTTCCACAGCTTCGCGTTCGCTAAGTGGTTAGCGAACGCCCTGCCCGCCTTGAAACCATCAAACCCGCCGTACGCCTCGACGTAATCAGTATGCACGGTTTTGATAAAGTTCCAATAATCAGTTTCATAACCTTTGAAGCGGTCGGAGGAGGAGGCTGGCTTTTTATCGGTCTTGTCGGTCTTGCCGCTCTTGTCGGCCTTCCTGGAGTTCGCCCACCCCTTGCTAATGACGTCGCACTGCGTCAGCGCGTCCAAGAACGAGATGCCAGATGCGAACCCGTTCATGGCGTTGCCTCCCGACCCGAAAAAATCGAGCGCATCGCTGGGCGTCTTGGGCCTGAGCAGAGTGACTCCTGGCATCCCCGCATCGATTGAGAAAGCAACTTGAGGGTTGCTCGGTTGCTCCTCCCAAGCAGCGTATGCAGCCTCCATCAGGTGCGCGCCAGCAACGAACGCGCAGGGGAGCTCGATGGGTCCTGGACCCCCGCGGGTCGTAAGCGACCCCAGCAGGTTAGTTATCTCAATGGGGTCGCTGGTCTCGGGGACGGCAATGATCTCGTTCCGAGCGCCCTTCTGGATCCCCCTCTCGAAGATGCCCAGTTTGTATTTCCGCAGGGTGACCGCGGAGGGGGAGGAGGAGCAGGAGGGCGAGAAGGAAGAGGATGGATTGGATGGGAGGAGGAGGAGCAGGAGGAGGAGGGGGAGGGAGGACGAGGGGGGGTAGGAGGAGGGGGAGGAGAAGGAGGAGGAGGAGGAGGAGGAGGAGGAGGAGGAGGGGGAGGATGAGGAGCAGGAGGAGGAGGATGAGGAGGCTTTCTCACGCGAGCCTTACGTGGACCAAAAGGTTTACTTCTACCAGCCTGGCCATGGGAAGAGGAGGGAGGGGAGGGAGCAGCAGCAGAGCAGCAGACGACACTGGATGATAGAAAGAAGGACGTGGGAGAGGAGAGGGGTGGATGGGGCAAGGCGGAGGAGCAAGTAAATGAGGGCGACCTGCTGGGTAGGGCGGTTCGCGTCATGACGACGCAAGAGCCTTTTGCGGTCCTCTAGGGCGCTGGGCTCAGGCAGTGGCCCACAGCTCCACTCCCTTCCAATCCCCACTCGCCTCTTCTTCCCCCCATACCTCCCCTGCCCCCCCTCCCTCGTCGCCACAGGCCCCCCTGGTCGTCGTCGACGCCCTGTCCCCCTCGGGGGGGGGGAGTGGGGGAGGGGCGTTGAAAAGGGAAGTCCTTGGTAAAGAAAGCAACCGTGATATTCTCAGAGAGCACGTAGTTCGCTCTGGCCTGATCTTGGAGAATCCTCCCAGACTTGTCAGGGTAGCGAGACTTGAAGCCGCTGCCAGCGGCCTCCGGCGGCAACTCCTCGAATGGATCGAGCTCTGCCAGGTTGACGCTTCCAGCGTCAGCATCAGCATCAGCGCAACCTGGGGGCTTGGGGAACCGAGAAAAGACACGCGCAGGCCAGCGCCCCCTGAGCTCGGGTCGGCCCCAGAAACGGTCACACTTGAGACGGCCAATCGGGACCAAGCTGGCCGCCCAAGGACACGAACAAGCACCATTCTGAGCCAGAGTGGTCGTCTCAAGTGTGACTGCTCCTGGGCCGCGCTACCCTTCTGACCTTCTGACCAGGATCTCGCCCCCCCCTTTCCCTACCGAGCGGGCCGATCGCATATCGGTCACTAGTCGATCTGGATCGGGATCGGGATCAGACAGCGGGATCGGATCAGGATCTTCGATATCTCCGATGGGGGTTTCGATATCTTCGATATCTTCGATCGGTCACTATAACCGATCTGGACGCGATCGGGATCGCGATCGGCGACCGTTTCGGTTCCCGTCACAGGATCGGTGGATTCCCAGGGTTGTCGAGGCCTCTGAACTTCGACGAGCCAAGATTCGGATTCCCCTAGGATGCGCATGGCACCTCGTTCAGAGTCATGCTTCTGCTCCGACATCGCAGGCTGCCGCTCTAGCTCGCGCGCGAGTGTGGCGCGAGAAGGCTTCGTCAGAATTCAATCGCTGGGTGAGCAACTTGGGAGACTTGGCTAAGGCGACTTCAACGGTGGCCGTTAGCTCGATAGCCGACAGAAGCACCGCGCCAGAAAGCAGTTCAAACAGCCTGTCCGGATGGATTCCTGGGGCTCCAGAGGGTCGGGGGAGAACAGGCTACCAAAACGTTCGGCCGTTACTCTATGGCTAGGCAGGGCACCGCAGGCCAAAGCAAACAGGGGAGTCAGGGGGGCCTGCAAAGCAAACAGGGGGGACAGGGGCTTCTTCTCCGCGGAACAAACATGGGGGACAGGGGGGACCTGCGGTCCGTCTGACCTTCCGAAGCTTCTTCGCCACCCATTGCGGCCCGCCCCCCCCCCCCCCCCCCTTGTACGATGGACATCCGAGCAGGGGGGCAGCGGCGGTGGTCGTAGGAGAGGGCGGGGCGGAGGGGAGGGGGGCAGAATAACGAGGGAGGTGACATGCAGAAAGCGAGCCAGGAGGATTGAGGATTGATTGGGTCGCTCTGCTAGAACTGCCCGAAGATAGGCGCAATGTACTTGCTGACGCCGTTGCCGCGCGCCAGCGCACGCCATGCCATGCCCTGAAAGAAACCCTACTGCTAGACGGTAGCGTCGCTGCGGTTGCCCGCAGCTGACGCAGAGTTGAAACTCATCACCGTGACTCAGAACAAACATAAGCCGTGCAACGATTGCATATTGAGCATCTTACTGGAGAGACTGAAGAAGGATGACAAGACCGACGTTCTGACGCGGGCTTTGTGCTTGAATTTGGCTCTCTCAGGGGACTCCTAAAGGGGCACTGCGGGCGAGGACCATCTGCCAAAGCTGCCTAAGCCGCCGCTGATGCGGCGGTCGACATGGATGGGCCTGCAGACGATGACGGGCCTGAGGCAGCGGCTGCGGCAGCACCGCGTATGAACGCATCCCGAAGCGTGCGCTGGCGCTGAATGGGGCGCGGAGGGCCAGACGTTGCTGGCCTCTTCGCGTTGATTCGCGAGCGGGCAGACGCTGGTCCAATAGAGGCCCCCAGGCTAGGGAAAGCTACAATGGCCATGAGGATGTGGCCGCCGACGTGGTTCAAATGGATCGTATTGCCAGCAGCATGCCTGATTGACTTGACAGTCCTGCACTGCGGGCTTGCTTGCACGCCATGTGAAAACTGGCAGCGGGCGGCAGTGTGCCAGTCATGCTGCGCACTCGACGCCCCCAAGCTGCCCGTGCTCGCAAGCTGGCTGCGAGAGCAAATAGGGTACCCCATCGAGGTCAGAAGCTCACTGCACGTGAACCAGCGATCTGGGAGCCGCGTGCTGGCGACCCAGCTCGCGAAGTCCTTCGGGCTGGTCGAGGGGGGCTCATGCTCATCGCGAGGGCCTCCTGGCGGCTCGAGAGGCGCGAGAGATTCATCGGAATCCGCCGACGGGCTGGGAACGATGTACAGGAAGCCAGTGCCAGCGATCAACGACGGAATGATGCCCCCGCGGCCTCGGAGGAGCCTTTGAGAAGGCGTCTGGTTCAAGTCCAGGACGTCGCCTGGACAGTGCCTGATGCCCCAGTCCAGGTTCTCGCGCTCCACCTTGGTGAGGAACCTCTTGCAAGAGTGAAAGTTCGTATACTCTGGGTCGTTTCGACTGGCTGGTTCTGACCAGCGCGATCTCACGCCAGGCCGAGACTCGGCCCAGGCCTTCTCCTTGGCAATCTCATACTTGGATGCGATCAGGTAGGCATCCAGGAAAAAGGCGCACTGCCTCCGGAAGATCTGCCGGAAGGTCTCCTGCCAGTTGAGGAAGTTGTCCAGGGCCCCAGACTGCGAGTGGTCGTGCCCAGCTGCCTGGAGGGCGCGCAAACAGTTCGGCGGTGCGCGGGGTCAAAACTGCGCATGGCTCGGGGGGCGCGCGTGGAGTCAAAACTGCGTGCGCCTCGGGAGCGCGCGGGGTCAAAACTGCGCATGCCCCCCGAGGACAAACAAAAATCAACAAGGCGGGAAATGAAATACATTTGATTTCCCACCCACCTCAACTGGGGAATGAAATGCATTTGATTTCCCACCCACAAGGCCCATGCAGCTCCCCTGTGGTCTGGGCGGACGCATTACCACGCGGCGCCTTCAGGACTGGAACGGCGAACGTTTTCAGAACCAAAATGGTGATCCGGCGCAGGCGGGCCGTCGCCCAACCAATCTCTCTCACGTTGTCCAAGGTTTTAATGATGAAGTACAGGTCCCCCAATCCCTCCTCTAGGTTGGTGGTTCCGAATTGTTTCACGTTCTCGTGAAATATAACTACGTCCTTTAATTTTCTTCTCATTGCCACCCACACCCAAAAGAACTTCATCTCCTTGCCACTATCCTTCTTCCTGAGGCCGAATTGCGAGTGCATCGTGCAGTGCGTGCCAGCGATGTGGATGTGGGAGCGCTCCATGGCGCAGTGCTCACCATGGATGACGCACCGCGCCTCCAGCTTGACGTCGCACTTCATCAACATATTCTTCAGCTTACTCATTGGAAGCTGCGGCGTTCCATTTAGGCCAAAAGCGGTGCGGAGATTGTCGGGGACAAAATCGCTGATGTCTTCGAAGATGTGGGCAGGGGGTTCTGGAAGCATCGACAATTCTGCCTGCGCTTTGCTATTGCATTCGATGGCATACTGCGGGGCGAACTGAATGGCCCGACCCTCAGTGCCTGGGTGGTTGAGCTCCAAGTACTTGCGAACGGACTTCTGGATCATGAATGCAGCATTCTCTGGGGCACCAATCCCTGAAAAGGCCGTGCTCATTTTCAGCCGTCGATCAACCAAGCGTTTCGAGAGGTCGCGGTTGGCCACGTCAGCCGTCTGGTGATTAGAGATCCTCTTCAGGGCTGAGGGGCACCATGCCATTGCGTCCTGCATTCTGGCACCGAAAAAACAAAGGAGATGAGGCGGAGGAGGAGGCGGAGGAGGAGAAGGAGGATCCGATTCGATTCGATTCGAAGATTCCTATCGAGGCGTTTATTCCTAATTAATATGGCGGGGAAGGGCCCTCCTCCGAACACGCGGAAAGGAAACGAGAGGAGGTGGCGGAGGAGGAGGAGGGGGGGGAGGAGGTCACAGACCCAGCCAAAAATTGATCCCAGGCTGGGTTGAGGAGGAGGAGGAGGAGGAGGAGGAGGAGCGCGTGTCCCCTACCCTGCCCCCTGGAATTGCACTCTTGTCCAGGGAGGGTGGGGCTGATGATGCGCCAAGAAAACAAATGCGCAACCCTCTTGCGCCTCGCACCTGTCCGCGCCCAGGACCAGCAGGACCAGCGGGACAGCTGCAACAAGAAGGGCTGTCAGGGCCGCCCGGGACCCCCCGCCCGCCGCCCGCTTAGGAGTCGGATCGAGGAGAGGTGCGAGGAGGAGGAAGTTAGAATGTATCCTCGAGGTTGTTGCACGTGCTCGTGGGGCCAAGATCGCCAGCAAGCCCAATGCCGCATACGAGAGGAGCTAGCCCTGGCGGCGCCCACATAGGCTGCATCGCGCCTGTTACAATATCTGAGATGCCAATCGAATCGCCTTGGAGCCTGGAACACGAAGCGCGCAGACAATGTGGGGATGTGACCTATGGCACGGATATGTGCCGCTCTCAGCGCAACCTCGCATCGACAGTTAATGGTTTTTGGTTATGGTGGAGATGTTGGGAAGGGGCTATGTGATATGGATGTGATATCAACCCGCACAAAAATTCTTTGAAGCTACATAGGTTCGCGCGTCGCGGGAACAAACTCAGTTGAATCGCAACCATTTCGAACTCAAGAATTGCGGGGTGGTGAAATCAGTTCGGCCGCTGCGCAAACAAAAAGTGAATAGTTAAAGGTCGACTAACCGTCATGCGCCGCGGGTTGCAGGCCACAGTGGGATCACATGCGCTTGAAAATGTGAGGCCACAGACCCCGCTGACCCCGTGAGCACAGAGATCCCACGAAGCACCTGACCTGGCCCCGTGGAGTCGCAGACACCACGGTGCACATGGCCTCATCTGGGCTCGTGGGGTTGAAGACCCCACGGTGCGCCAGGCCCCGTGGGGTCACAGACCCCGCGGTGCGCATGGCCCCGTGGGGTCACAGACCCCACGGTGCACATGGCCCCGTGGGGTCACAGACCCCACGGTGCACATGGCCCTGTGGGGTCACAGACCCCACGGTGCACATGGCGTCGTGGGGTCACAGACCCCACGGTGCACATGGCCCCGTGGGGTCACAGACCCCACGGTACACATGGCCACGTGGGGTCACAGACCCCACGGTGCACATGCCCCCGTGGGGTCACAGACCCCACGGTGCGCATGGCCCCGTGGGGTCACAGACCCCACGGTGCACATGGCCCCGTGGGGTCACAGACCCCACGGTGCACATGGCCACGTGGGGTCACAGACCCCACGGTGCACATGGCCCCGTGGGGTCACAGACCCCACGGTGCACATGGCAATGTGGGGTCACAGACCCCACGGTGCACATGGCCCCGTGGGGTCACAGACCCCACGGTGCACATGGCCCCGTGGGGTCGCAGACCCCACGGTGCACCTGACCCCGTGGGGTCACAGACCCCACGTTACACCTGGCCACGTGGGGTCACAGACCCCACAGTGCACCTGACCCCGTGGGGTCACAGACCCCACGGTGCACATGGCCTCGTGGGGCCACAAACCCCACGGTGCACATGGCTCTGTGGGGTCACAGACCCCACGGTGCACATTGCCCCGTGGGGTCACAGACCCCACGGTGCACATGGCCTCGTGGGGTCGCAGACCCCACGGTGCACCTGACCCCGTGGGTTCGCAGACACCAAGGAGGGCCACCAGAATGCTCCAGGGGGGCCCAACCGCTGGCGGCCCTCGTCGTCTTTGACAGCAGAGGGGGGCTCAGTATGTGGCATTCCTGGCCCCCCCCTGGAAGCTACTCGGGAGCTCCCCTTACCAGGTCTAGCCCAATTCTAAAGGCTCCAAGAGAGCCCACAGAGACCTCCGAGAGACCCCCGGGAAGGCTCCAAGAGGGGGCCCAAGCGGGCCCCCAGCTGTCAAGCGGTCCCCGTCCTTGACATCAGAGGGCTCCTCTTGGGTCCCACCTGGCTTCCAAGAGGGCTCCAAGAGGGGGCACAAGCGGCCCCCCTGTTGTCAAGCTGGCGGCCCTGACAGCAGGGTGGGCTCCTCTTGGGGCGTTCCTGGCTTCCCCCTGGGGCCTACTCAGGAGCTCACCCTACCTGTCCTAGCCCATTCTAAAATGCTGAAAGGGCTCCAAGAGTGCTCCCAGAGACTTAGGAAAAACTCAGCGGAAGGCTCCAAGAGGGGCCCCAAGCGGCCCCGTGTTGGCTCCAAAAGAGCACCCGGAGAGCACCAGAAGAGCCCCCAGAAGGCTCCAAGAGCGTCTTTCTTGGAGCGTCAGGAGGACCCTTAGACGGCTCCAAGAGGGCGCCAAGATGACTCCGAGAGGGCCCTGCAGGGTGTCACTTGCAGGAGCGTTGAACGTGACACTCTCAAGCCTTCTCTTGGGGATCCTCTGGGAGGTCTCCTGGCATCTCCTTGGGGTCCCGGGGGCCCCCTCACCCTGTCCTGGTGCTCTCCTGGGGCTCCAGGAGCTCCCTGAGACGGCTCTAAGAGGCCGCCAAGACAGTTCCAAGAGAGCCCTGGAGAGTGTCACTTTCAAGAGGGCTGGAAATGACACCCTCAAGACTTCTCTTGGGGGTCCTCTGGGAGGTCTCCTGGCCTCTCCTTGGGAGTCCCAGGAGCCCTCTCACCCTGTCCTGGTGCTCTCCTGGGGCTCCAGGAATTCCCTGAGACGGCTCTAAGACGGTTCCAAGAAAGCCCTGGAGGGTGTCACTGTCACGCCCTCGCGGCGTCTCTTGGGGCTCAAGAGCCCCAAGACATATCCGAAAAGTTCCTATCATCACAGGCACATGCCATTTATGTGTATGTATATATATATATATATATATATATATCACTGGTTCATCTCTCATCTGAGCTCCTCCGAGAAGCCAGCGAGGGACACGGATGGTCTCCAAGATCGCCCTTCAGAGACCCCCCCCCCTCCCACATAAATTCAGGAAGGCTCCTGGAGAGCCGACAAACCAACAGAACTATCATTGGCGTCGTCTTTTCTAAGCGCATCGGGCACCCCAACCACCCTGTCCAGAAACGATCCCCCTGAGAGCTGACGGGGGGAGGGAGTGATAGTCAATCATAGTGTAACAGCGTGGGCATCAGTGGTGCAGTCAGACATCTATGGGAGCAGATGCTGCCTTCTCTGTTGTCATCCTGCTCCTCCTCCCTGCTCCTCCTCGTGCTCCTCAACATCATTACCCTCCTTCTCCTTCTCCTGCTCCCCCCCCCTGCCCCTCGCCCCTTATCCCCCAGCCCCGCTCGACGCGTCATGGAGCTGGCCTGGCTAGGTGGGCCGAAGGCTTTGAATTCACGCGGGCGCAAATCGGACGCCGACATCACATTGCCCGCGCCGGCACCAACGATCTCGCAAGGTAGTGGCACGAACGGACGTGCACATGTACAAGACCGACTTCGGCGGACGCGGCGGACGCCCGAGGCGCCCTCTGGCTAGCCTCGCACATCCCCTAGCCATCGAGATAACTCAAGCCCATGCCAAACGCCCAAGACGCCCTGGCCCCCCATACAACGCAGGGCCCAGGAAGGCATGACATGCCGAGAACCTTGAACCCCATTGGAGGCCACGGGGGCCCTGGAACCCCTGGGCCCTGAGAGGCCCTGGACCCCAGGAGAAAACCCAACAAAAAAAGCAAGCACAACCAACAAGAACAAACACGCAAGCAACCAACAACAACAAAAACGAAGCCCGTGGGAGGCCCGCGCGCCCATTCCCACGCACCCCTCACTCGGATCACGAGGTCTGGCGGAAATGTCAATGCCGAAGGCTTTTGATTTCGCTCAATCACATCATTTTCGTTGTCGCATTCGCCTGTTCATGCGAGAAACCACCCGCCGAGTCCAGGCGGGCCCGCGTGTCTGGAGGGAGGGCCGAGCGCCCCGCGCCCCCAACAAGAAAAGACATGCTCGCTGGCGCCGCTGGCCTCCGGGGGCGCTCTAATCAGGCCCTGGCGGCCCTGGCGGCCCTGGCGGCAGCTCTGGGGGCGGAGGCGGCGCGCCGAGGCCGTCTGCCAGGCCGTCTGCCCCCTCAGCAGGGCCATCCTCGGCACCCTCGGCCTCCGCCTTCTCAAAGACGCCAGATTGCAAACCTGCTTTAAAAATCAATTGCTGACACCAGGAACACATCACGCCATCCTGGGAGAACTCGCACAGCTGGGCGCACCCCAAAGAATTCAACACGTCGTCGAAAACAAACGCCCGCTCAGTATCCTCGGATACAGCCTGAAGCGATTTCTCCAAGTCAAATTCGCCAACCTGGCCGTCCCTCTCTGCATCAATGGCACAGCTGCAGTGAAATGATAGATTGCAGAAAGAGCATTTGCGGGACATGGTCCACATCGTCCTCCCATCCCCACGAAAGACATTGCGGCAGAAGAAGCATGGCTCCGTCACGAAGCCTAGCGGCACGTCGCCCCCTGCCCCCGCGAGCATCTCAAGCTCCGCCTTGATCGCCCAGTGCCCTTCGACGAACTGGACGTATTCCAAAACCTGGCGAGGCGGGAGGGGGGGGGGAGGCAACGCGGTGGCGCCACAAAGCCAACCATAATCAGTCCAACCAGAATCAGCCCAACCCGCCGACAGACAGGAAAAATGCCAAGGGGGGCCCAAGAGGGCCCTAAGCAAGCCCTAAGACGGCACCGGAGGACCCCAAGAAGGGCCCCAAGAGGGCCCTTGCCGAGAGCCACGAATATGAAAATACCACCACGCTTACCCTTCCCATCCAACTTTGCGATCCCAGGCACAACCTCAGCACGCATAGCTCTGCGAAGTCCCTTCTCAACGCGGACCATCATAGCAGTGGTGTCAAGGATGTGCACTCGCATGGTGCCATCTGCCAAGGCACCAGTGAAGTCGTGAACGTTTGAGAGGTTCTTCCCTGGGTGAGTGTATCCGACCATTCCATCGTCCACTGAAACATATCGGCCATGCTTACGTTCCCCCCACCGGTCAAAGAATACATACTTGAATTGTCGATCACCATTCGCATCCTCGACCTTCGAGGCAGCGCTCAGAGGGACATTGGCCCGCCAATGGGGGAAGGGCGGGGTGGCGTTCCAAAAGCCTTGCCGTCCCCCTGTATGCCCCCCCCAAACCTCCCCCCCTCCCCCTCCTCCTCCACGCCCTTCCCCCCATCCCCCTCCCCCATCTTCATCATCCTCCTCTCCTTCTCCTCGTCGCCCCCTTCTTTTTTTCCACATCCCCCCTTCTTGCCGCCAGGACAGCCCTGGAGAGATCGGCGAGCCCGAGCTCGAGCCCCAGGAGGACGGCCGAAGGGCGATAAGGGGTCTGCCAGAGAGGAAGGGGAAGTGCTATCGATGGAGGTTGAAACATGCGTTTCAATGTTTTGCCCCTCTGCTGCCTCCACCAATGACAGGGTTCTGGCCCCAGGAGCGGCACGGCCTGGATCAGATGCGAACTTGAAGATGAATGCAACCCGCGAGATGACAGCTTCGGCCCAGTGAGTCATCACGTGCCCGCGCAGCTCCGCTGGTGGAGGCGCTGGCGGCGGCGGCAAAGGAGGATCGACGACGATCCCCGCTGCGGCTGCGACCAACACTTCCCTGGCCACTTCGTCGTGCGGAAGCCCGAGGAACTCGTCTGGGGCGCCCCCTGATGCCGCAGCAATATCGATTGCAGCGTCGTCGACCTGACGAGTATCGAAGGTACTCATTCGATGGCATCCGAATGCATTTTCACGCATCGAGAAAGCGGGCTCTGGGGGCCAAGAGGGTTTCAAAGGAGGCAGCGACCAAGGAGGACGGGTTCGCTTGCCACCCATCATGCGATAAGGTGGACCTTGCGTTTTCTTTCTACCAGGGGAGGAGGAAGAGGAGGACTGGAGAGGGGGGGGAGAAGGAGGGGGAGGCGGGGGAGAATGAGGAGCAGGAGGTGGAGGTTTTCATGGCAGGAGGAGGAGGGGGAGGAGGAGGAGGAGGAGGAGGGGGAGGAGGAGGAGGAGGAGGAGGAGGAGGAGGAGGAGGAGGAGGGGCGGGAAGAAGGAGGCGACGACGGTACCCGGTACAGCGTCGGGGTCGACAGTTGAGGGGGCGGCCCAACTACTCCAGGACAAAAAGGGCACGACGCTCGAACGAACGAACGAATCTAAGGCCCCACGCGAACCTGGCCCAGGAGTCCAGACTCATTCTCTTTGACCGCCACGTGCAAGCGCTTCTCTGCAATGTCAGCTTCCTTGTGGTCCTCAAGTAAGCCCCACAAAGGGTGGACATCGTGCTCCTCTCCTGGGGCATCTGGACTGGCGAGGTCGTCGCCTCTCTCGTCCATCTCTGCCATCGCTTCCTGGATTTCCTCTAACGAGTCACTCTCGGCGTCGCTGTCGAACAGGTCGTCGACGGGGCGGGGCTAGTGGGGGAGGGCGGAGAAGGGAAGAGGAGGAGAAGGAGGAGGAGGAGGAGGAGGAGGGGGAGGAGGAGGAGGAGGAGGAGGAGGAGGAGGAGGAGGAGGAGGAGGGTTCCGAAGTGGGTTCCAAAGGAGTCCCACGACCCCCACCCTGACAGAATCCACGGGCCTCTTTGGGGTCGCGGGATTCCGTCGGAACCATGTTCGAAGCCCCCATCCCCCCCCCCCCCCCCCCCCTCAGGGGGGGGGTCGAGGGGGGAGAAGGAGGGGGAGGGGGGGGGGGGAGGGGGCAGGAGGAGGAGGACAGGGCTTTCGCATGCAGGTAGACCCAAAAGTCTACTTCTACCAGCCACGAAGAAGGAGGAGGAAGTGGAAGGACAGGGGGAAGAGGAGGGGGATGGGGAGGAGGAAGAGTAGCGACGAGAGGGAGCGGAACAGGAAGCAGAGCTGAGGGGGAGGAGGACGGCGAGGAGGAGGAAGAGAAGGAGGAGCAGGAGGAGAACAAGGAGGAGGAGGAGGAGGAGGAGAAGGGAGGGGGAGCCAGCGGCGTTTTTCGGCTTCAAACTCTCATGGATCCTTGGATTCCCTCTGGCAACACGCAGCCCCCCTGGGGCCGCTTCTGAACTGCCTGGGCCCTGGGGCCCCGCTGCTCGCGCTTCAAAGAGCGCAAAAAAACGCCGCCGACTGCCGCCGCCCATTTCCACTCACTTGGGCGCCTCCGCATCCCCGAGCGGCAAGGGAGGCTCCGCCTCCAGCGCGGCCATGGCCTCGTCGAAACCGCGAAAACCCGCAGGACCTCGAGGTTCTCCACGACGTCCACGGCGGCGGTAGCCGCGTGCCGGGCACCTGCGCGCGGGGGAGGAGGGGGGGGGGAGATCGCACGAATGCCGAGAGGAGGTCAGGGGCGGCCAGGGGCACGGTCCCCGGGCGCAGGATCCAAGGGCCGCTGGAGCGTGAAGCTCAGCAAATTGAGCTCATCGTCCTCCTCTCTTCTCCACCTCCTCCTCCTCCTCCTCCTCCCCATCCTTCCTCTCTTCCTCCTTCTCCTCCTCCCCCCCCTCCTCCGCATCCTCATCCTCTGCAGGCCGACAATCTTTCGCGCGGGCTCGGGCCCGACCGGCCCGAAACATAGGGCGCGCGATGCTTTCGCCCGATCGCTCGGCTTGCGCCATTTCCGCCACGAGAGGGCCACGCGGAGGCGCGGAGAGATCGGGGGGCGAGGGGGAAATGGAAGAGGAGCGAGGAGGCGGAGTGGAGGAGGAGGGGGAGGAGGGGGAGTAGAGGACGAGGGAGGGGGGGAAGATGAGGGGGAGGAGACTGAATTGGGGGACCACGAGTCGACGACGAACAGATGGAAGGATCGGGTCGCGGGCACCTGCAAGTGTCCGACATTCGGCACAGCTCCTCAATGTCAGCGACGGCGGCTGTGCACATAGAATCACGAGTCCAACCGAGCGACGCGACCTTCACGGACACGTTGCCGACCTTGGTCGGGTGGTCATCACCGCGGTCGTCGTCGTCGTTGTGCACCATGGCAGCAGCGTGCGTGCGTCTCACGACATTGACGAGCTTGTCGATCGAGAGGGGCACAACCAATCCAATGTCGCCATACCGAGATCCTTCACCACCGTGTTGAATGGAGGCGTTCACAATCCATTTCCTGGTGGCGTGAACGTGTGCAATGATAAACTCTCTGGACTCCAGGACCCTCGAACCTCCGTCGGAATAGTCCTCGAACACCTCGAACTGGATCGCGTACCCGCAGGTGGGGTCCTCAGGGCGGGAAGCGAGGCCAAGAATGCAACATCATCGAGTTATCTTCGTTTCCTCTGGTACCCCCTGGGCCCCTGGGGGGGGGCCTCCTAACTTTATCGGATGCGTTTGTGCTATCCTCCGCCGCCCTCCTCCTCCTCCTCCTCTGCTCCTTCTCCTCCTCCTTATTCCCATTATTCCTCCCGCTTTGCCCTTCATGGCTCTCCTCCTCCGAGTCCATGTCCTCTCTCCTCGCCGCCCTGCCCTGACCTCCTGCTCCTCCTCCTCCTCCTCCTCCCTCCTCCTCCTTCTTCTTCTTCTGTTTCTCCTCCTCCTCCTCCTCCTCCTCCAGTCGCCATCGCCGTCGGTCTGCTCATTATGTCCCAGCGCTGTCTTGGATGTCGATGCCCTTGTTCCGAAGAGACCGGCGAAGCTGCAGCATGAACTTGGCGCAACACTTGTCGATCGCAGAGTTCACGTCGAGGGGCGCTGGACTCGGCGGGGGCGGCCGAGTGAACGAGTCGACGGTCACTTCTGCAAAGCGCGCCTCGCTCGAATGCCAAAGATTCGGGCCTGCATCCAAAACGTCATCATGGAAGTCTGCGCACGCCTTGACGTAGGCCTCTCTGTCGGGCTTCGTGTGGCAATGCTGGGCGAGATCTTTCTTGGTAACGACTCGTGCCGACATTAGTTCCCAGCCTATGGATGGGGCCCTCTTGCCGATCGTCTTCACTGTATTATTCAAGCCTTCGATTTCCTGCGTGTCGACCTGCCACGCGCCCCCGATGTCCTGGACGAGATCGTGCACGTACTTCGGCCAACGCCCGGTGGCCATGGCCACGCGGAGTTCGGGCTGGAAGATTGTCCTGAATTTCACGGCGGTGGCATCCAATATGTCTTTCTCGGAGGACTCGAGCAGGTCCCTGGCGACGTCCCGCCGACATGGGCAACCCCTGTCGTGCGGCGAGTACACGAGCCAAAGCAAATACTGAGGATAGTTACGGACTAGGACTGCAAAGCGGCGGAAGAAGTCCACGGCCGTCTGGAGCACGTGACAAACAGCCAAGCGCACGCACCCTGGCGAATCGCCGCCAGGAATGTCGAAAAGATCGTGCCAAATATCCGATGGGTTTGCCTGGACGAGTACATCGAAATCACGAAGAACTTTATCGACTTGCGAATGCACCAAATCAAACATGACGCCAGCCCCTGCTCGCTTTGATTTCTCGGCCTGCTTCTGCATCCAGAAATGCATGATGGTGATCGGGCCGCGGCTAACGTGCTTTATGACCAAATCCTGCCAAAACCCAGCCGAGTGCAATGCTGCATCTGCGCTCTTAACCCACTTCGACAGCCGCTCCTGATAGGCGTCGTCCGTATCCAGCAAGCTCAAGCTATCAGTTGCGACCTCCACCAAGGCGGTCTCCGTGTCAGTGTTTGGCTCCTCTCGTTCCTGTTCGCCTTCGAGCTTTTTGGGCTTGCCCTTGAGCTTCGCCATGGCCTTGGCCTTCGCCCAGGGCTTGCCCTTCGCTTTCTTGGCCGCGGAGGGTCCGACGATGGCTTTGCGAAAAGCGGCAGCAACGTGCAATCGACCAAGCGAAAGAAGGCAAGCCTCTGTATGATAGCACGAGCACCATCGACCTCGAAGAGGTCGGTGTGGAAGTCGCTTGCAGATCAAGGAGTCCCCAGGAGTCTCTAAGTCCTTGTTGAGATCAAGCCAAGCATCGCGAATTTTCCTCGGGTTACCTCCAGTGCGCCACACGTTGATCACTGTTGCCAGGTGCCCGAAATAGTTATCGTGCATGCAGCCCTTGTTGATTTGTTTTTGCGAGATCAAGTGTAGCTGATGGTGTAGACAGTACGTGCGCATTTTCCAAAGCAGTAAGTGACCGTCCCCCGCGTTAAAATCTCGCTCAATCAAGCCCTCCGATCCGACTTGATCCCCTCCTGCATCGGTTGTGAATTGCCATATTGATAAACGGATGGGTTCGCCCGGCTCTGGCATGAACGAATACTCGCCAGATTCGGACAGCTCGATCCAGGTCCTCTTTGGAGCGCTCAAGGGCTCAAGGACACGGCGGGGCCTCTTAAATATCCCCTCCTCCAAGGGAAATCCTGACCTCCCCCTCCTCCTCTCCCGCCCCCCCTCCCCCCTCCTTCCCCTCCCCCAGCTCCGCCTCTTGGTAGGGGTCGGGGCTTGGGCGGGGGCGTTTTTTGACCCAGCTGTCTTGCAACCAAGTCCACGTATTTGTTTCAAGAACAGGTTTCGCTGGAGCAGGGCATCGCAATGCTCAGGGACGCGCTGAAGGTCAGCGAAAACACGAAGCCTGTCTCCCTCCGGGGGATCGGTCACGCGGCCCTGGGGATCATCTTTTGAACAACCAGCAGGAAGCCCTGGATGGCGGAACAGAGTGAACACGTCGCAGGAATGCGCCTTACTGCAATGGAATCCCACGGCCGAGTTGGTTGCGTCGCCCCTGACGCAATGGATGGCATAAGAAAGGGTGCGCTCGCGGCCTACCTCTTCCTCTGGGCGGCTCCGCAATGCGTCCAGCACGAACGATTGGTAGCTGTAGTGCCTGTCGTACCAGTTCTTCGACCTCACCAGAATTGATCGACACAGTATATGCTCCCATCTCACCATCGCCTTTCTTTTGACATCAGCTTCCAATCCCAACAAGAGAGCTTCGCAACCACTGTGACCGAGGTTCCGCTTCAATGCCAAACTGTAGCCCCCTTTGACACTCGTGCGGAATTGAAAGCATGTTTTTTTCCTTTTCTTGTTATGTATCACAAAAGTACCTTTCTCACGAAGCTCACGGGCAACAACCTTGTCGTCAATGCGAAGCCTTTTAGCAGCACGTTTCCAGTAAGCCTCCCGCCGCCTGGACAAGTCGAGGGCGCGCATCAGACGCCTGGCTCGCAACGCCAGGCGAGCTTTCTGGCCCTCGATCCGCCGCACTTCCTCGGATTCCTCGGCGCGCCTGTGAGGATACATAAAAATCATCTCCTCCTTTCCTTCCTCCTCCTCCCCCCTTTCCTCGCCTTTGCTCCACCCCCTTCCCAACCGTCCATCCCCCCCTCTCCGTTCAATCGGCCTGGGGCCCTGGACGCCTCGGGGTGCCCCGAACGAGGGTGCTGGAGGCGCGGCGAGCGCGGCGAGCGCGCTCTGATTGCTAGAGCGGGCCCCTCGCAGGAGAAAAGGTCTCTGTCGCTTCTCCCACCCAGAAAGCCAGAAGGAGGAGGAGAGGGAGAAAGAGGCGGGGGGGGGACTGGGAGAAGGAGGGGGAGGAGGAGGAGGAGGAGGAGGAGGAGGAGGAGGGGGAGTAAGGAGGAGAGGAGGAGGAGGAGGAGGAGGAGGAGGAGGAGGAGGAGGAGGAGGAGGAGGAGGAGGAGGAGGAGGAGGAGGAGGGGGAGGGGGAGGGGGGGGAGGCGGAGGAGGAGGACGAGGAGGAGAAGGAGGAGGAGGAGGAGGAGGAGGAGGAGGGGTAGGAATATTGCCTCCCAAGAAAGCACCTCTCGGGCCTCGGCCCAGCGCCAGCGCCCGCGGCAGCGGCGGCCGGCGGCGGAGGATGGAGGACTCCTCGCCCTCCTCGCCCTCCTCGCCCTCCTCGGCCTCGGCCACGAGCACCGAGACCGCGTGCCAAGGCAGCGTCGGGGGGCATCACAGGCGCCCCACCGTCTCCTCTGGTCCAGGGGCCAAGCCCTCCTTACATTCATCCCCCTTTCTCCTGCCTCCTCCTCCACCTTCTCCTCCTCCTCCTCCTCCTCCTCCTCCTCCTCCTCCTCCCCCTCCCCCCCTAGATATTATTTCCTATTCCTCCTCTTCCTTCTTCCTCTTCCTTTTTCCTCCTTCTTCCTCCTCCTTCTTCCTCCTGCTCCTCCCCCACGCACAAGGTAGCATAGATTGATTGATCGCCCTCCCAGGTCCTGAACGATTGTACGAGAGCTTCTGCCACACAGCGAAATCCATATATTCCAATGCATTTTGAGGCGGTATCTGAAGTCCCAAAGCCAGCATTGCATCTCTGAGGTGGATAATATTGAGACCACTTGCATTGCCGACAGCTGCGCGAATTCTGCCCCACGGACAAGAACCACCAACACATCTGATGATGCACTTCTCAATGTCGCGACCACTATTGAAGCGCAAACGTGGGTAACCGAAGCCAGACCCTGGTGGTTTTGGCACTGCGCAGTGCCACACGGCCGAAGCAAGTACGTCAGCAGAAATGGGCGGCATCTCAGCGGCATCTCGAGCCAAAATGGCTTGTTTCAAAGACACGGGCTCGGCCACAAGGATCACTTCCACAAGAAACCAGCGCGGGGACCCTGGGAGTCTAGAGTTTTGGGGGGGCGCGCCAAACATTCGAAACGCCAAAACATTCGAGCCCCCCCGCCCCCCAAAAAAAACAACCTGGAAAGCATTCGGAGGGCACGGAGTGTTTCTTTGCATGGGTTGTTACGGTGATCCTGAATAGTTTGGATTGTCTTTTGGTGCCCCTCTTCCGCCGGCTTCCGCTTCAGGGTCCGCGGTTCCTCCAGAGGAGCGCCGAGCGTCTCGGCACGAGCGAAAGAAATGCGCGCCAGATGTTTGGGCAACGCTTCATTTGAGGCGCGCGAATGAATACACGGGCGGCATAAATGTTTCGTATTATTGCGGCATGCAGATCAAATAGTGTTGTTTTTTTGCACATGTTAACACGATGCGCATGCATTGTCGAAGTCTCGCAATTTGCATATCATAACATATATCATTGACACATACCATAATGTTTTACATTATGTTAACAAAATGTTCTCGCACACGTCAATGTGGCGTACTTTTTTATAATAAAAAAAACATAACAAAAAGCCCCAGCAGGGCAACATGCTGACCCAACGAGGGCGCCGCACGTGTGTTTTTAATCATTTATTTTTCAACATACAAAAAACATGTATCAAACACTTGTCAACATAACTGTTTTTTGAAGTCCCAACATGTATTTGTGTATTATTGTTCGTTGCGCTAAGATTCAATTACATAATTGTTTCATTTATGTTGGGGAAAAACTGAGCTTATGCCAACCAGCATACAAAAACAACAAGAACAACCTGAAACCAAAAAAAACGCATGTTAAAAAAAAGAGGACATGTGGGGAGGAGCGCTCCGCGGAGAAAGTCTAGGCGCTGCGATGCCCTCCCCAGGGGAAGGGACACTGAAGTTTTCGGAAAACGCCCTCGCAAACGCAACGAGCAGCGTACAATGGAAGCGTACCGAAGTGCCCTCCACGCTTTCAGAGCTCGCCCGAGGAATCTACCAAAATCGCCCTGGATTCGTGCCCCCTGGCACCGCCCGCGGTGCCCGTAAGGGAGCCGCTGCCGGTCGCTCGTGGCAGATCGCACCAAGTACAGCCTACGGCTGCACCAGCGCTCCGGTGGCACCGCCGTCGGGCTTCCGAAAAGCGCACCTTCCCTTATGGTGGGGGAGCAGAAAGATACCGAGATAAGCTTCACGCAAGAGTGACCCTAGGAGTGCAGGACGAGTACGGGCACACATACATACATACATATATTTACATACGTACATACATACATACATACATACATACGTACGTACGTACGTACGTACATACATACGTACGTTCGTACGTACGTACACACATAAATACATACATAGAGACAGACAGAGCCCAGAATGGCCCCCGAGACGGCCCAGGAGGGCCCCGAGTCGCCCACAGATCGGCCGAAGACGCCCACGATAGCCCCAAGACCGTCCAAGAAGCCTCCAAGACGTCCCAGGCCCCCATCCAAGAGACCCCCAGGAAGCCCCAAGAGGCCCCCACGATGCTTCCAAGCGGTCCCTGAGAGCTTCCCAAGAGGCCCACAAACTACCCCCAAGAGGCCCCCAAGAGCGCTCGTCGTCGTCGTCGTCGTCGTCGTCGTCGCCACTCAGGGTCGGCGGCACCGGCCGTAGGGCTTTCGTAACACATACATAGAGACAGACAGACAGACAGACAGACAGACAGACAGACAGACAGACAGACAGACAGACAGACAGACAGACAGACAGACAGACAGACAGACAGACAGACAGACAGACAGACAGACAGACAAACATCCATACATATTCAAATATGTACAAAGATATGTGTATATATATATATATAAGTATATAGTCCTAGTCCTATTCCTATCTTTGTATTACCCGGAACCCCCTGCCCACCCCACCCCTAAATCGGACCCTCCCCCAAGGGACGCCCCAGACGCCCTTTCGGACGTCTCGGCGGCCCCCTGGACGCCATTGGAAAAGGTCCGCTGGCCCTTCCGGGCCTCCCAGGGCGCTTTGCCGGGCCTTGCGAGCAGACTCAAGGCCATCGGACGGGTCATCGGAGAGGCGCAAGAGAGAAACAAGACAGCACAAGAGCGCTCCAAGAGGAACCTCGATAGTCTGAAGACGGCCCAAGAGGCCCCCAAAAACGCCCCACGAGGGGTTAAGAGAGTCCCGAAGAAGAAAAAAACGTCCCATTCCTTTAGGAATATATATATATATATATACGATCTCGCACAGGGGCGACGCGCGACGAAGGCCGATGCACCAATGCTGTGAGGCGTGGAGCTTGAGCCCACAGGCAAGAACACGTTTAAGGCCAGCTCCAGATCCCTCGGGAACCTCCCCGAGCCCGCCTGGACCGCAGAGGCACATCAGACGTGGTCGGGGCATTCGCGCCCTATGAGCCCTATGGGCCTGGCGAGCCCTGTGAGCCTTACGGGCCGTATGGGCCCCTGGGTCGTATGAGCCCTATGAGCCCTATGAGCCTTATGAGGACTACGGCCCCCACGGGCCCCACGACAGCTTACGAGCATGTATGGCCTTTGAGCCCTATGAGTCCTATAAGCCCTACACGCCGTATGAGCCCTATGAGCCCCAGGAGCCCTATGAGCACTATGAGCCCTGCGGGCACCATGAGCCCTATGAGCCCTACGGGCTCTTGGGCCGTAAGAGCCCCATGAACCACAGGAGCCCCATGAGCACTATGAGCCCTACGGGCACCATGACCCCTATGAGCCCTACGGCCCCCGCGGGCCCTACGACCCCTTACGAGCCATGTATGGCCTTCGAGCCCCATGAGCCCTATGAGCCCTACAGGCCGCATAAGCCTTATGAGCCCTATGAGCCCCAGGAGCCCTATGAGCACTACGAGCCCTGCGGGCCACATGAGCCCTATGAGCCCTATGGGCCATGCAGGCCGTGTGAGCCCTACGAGCCTCATGAGCCCCAGGAGCCCTATGAGCACTATGAGCCCCGCGGGCACCATGAGACCATGAGCCCTGTGAGCCCTACGGGCCGTATGAGCCCTATGAGCCCCAGGAGCCCCATGAGCACTATGATCCCTACGGGCACCACGAGCCCTATGAGCCCTATGGGTCGTACGATTCCTACGAGCCCAATGAGCCCTACGGGCCCGGAGGGCTCTACGAGCTTCATGGGCTACATGAGCCTGTGAGCCATGTGAGCCCTATGAGAACCCTTGGCCTTATGAGCCCTATGAGACCTATGACCCTATAGGCCTTGTGAGCCTTATGACTGCTGTGAGCCGCATGGGCCTCATGAACCTGATGAGCCCTATGAGCCCTACGGGCCGTATGAGTCCTATGAGCCCTACGAGCCCCAGGAGCCCTATGAGCACTATGAGCCCCGCGGGCACCACGAGACCTATGAGCCCAATGAGCCCTGTGAGCCCTATGAGCCCTGTGAGCCCTATGAGCCCTAGAAGCCCTGCGAGCCCTACGAGCCCTATGGGACCATGAGCCCCATGAGCCCTATGAGCACTGGAGCCCTGTGAGCCATATGAGCCCTACGACCCCTGCGAGCCTGACGAGCCCTGCGATCCCTGTGGCCCCATGAGACCCAATGAGCCCTATGAGCCTTCTGAGCCTCACGGACCTTACGAGCCCGATGATTCCCAAGAGCCGATGACCTCACGGAACCCCAGGAGCCCTACAATTCGGATGAGTCCTATGACGCCCATGACCACTTCCTGAATCGCACCGCGGCAGTGACAACTGCCGGTCCCATCGCTCTTCTCTGGCGCCATGCGACCAAGATTTTAAAGGCGAAGCGAAGCGAGCCGGTAAAATCTTGTGTATCTATATATATATACACACATACATACATACACACATATATCCCCCCCCAAACAAAAAACTGAGTCTGGAGCTTTGGGACCCTGCGGACGGGCCTCGAAGCGCCCCCGGGGCCTCGCAAGGCGTTTTGCCAAGCCTTCCCAGCACACCTAGGGCATCAGGGGATCGGAGAAGTCCCAGAGACCCCAAAGACAGCACCAGAGCGCTCCAAGAGTGACCGACGTGACCTCAAGATGGCCCAAGAGGCCTCCAGGACGGCCCGTAAGAGGCTTCCAAGAGCACTCCCAAGAAGGCAACAAGAGGCACAAATCATTGACTTTCTGTTGGTTTTTGGTGAATTTTGGGGTTCTCCTCTTTTCGGCTTCCCGACGCTCCAAGACGGCGGTCTTCGGGGCGTCCGAAGCCGCCTGGGAGGCTCCCAAATCGCCCCACAACCATCCGAAAGGGCTTCCAAGCAGTCCAAGAGAGCCCCAAAACGGCACAACACGGGTCCAAGATGGCCCTCAGAGAGCCCCATGGCGGCCCAAGATGGCCCCAATAGACGCTCCGAAGCATTCTAAATCGTGACCTGGTCCGTCAGGGAGACCGCGGTTGGAGGCAGGGTGACCCGAGGACGCCCCCAGAGGCCCCCAGAATACGCCCAGGAGGCCCCCAGGCTTTCTTAAGGCCTTAAGGCCTTAAGAAAGCCTGAAACAACTTTTGTGAGGCCCCCAGAGGCTCTCAAAGGAGGGGTCTCCGCAAGAAAGAGCTGAGGAGGATGGGGAGAATGCGCAGGGTATGGCGAACATGAAGAAAAAGAAGCATGGAAGAAGGATAACACATAACATCATTATAGCGGCGATGCCGGAAAAAAAGGCAACAAGGAGTGATCGCTAAATTGTCGGCTTGACCTTCCTGCTATTCCGCCTGCGTACCAAACTTCAAGGACCAAGGTGCATGGCGCGAATCGCCACTGCAATCTTGTGTATATATATATATACATATACATATCCGCTTTGGCCCGATGGGCCCCCGATATCGCCCCAAGAGGCCCTCCAGAGGGTTTGCCCAGAGAGCCCCGAGACTGCCCACAAGAAGCCCAAGATGCCCCCAGAAGGCTCCCAAGAGAGACCCACGAAAGCCATGGGAGACCCCTAAGAAGGCCACTGGAGGCCCCCAAGACGGCCCAAGAAGGCCCCAGGACGGCCCAAGAGGGCCCCAGGACGGCCCAAAAGAGCCCCAAAACCGCCCAGACGGCGTTCTCCTACGAAGTGCATCGAGCTGACCCGACGATCTTGGCTCCACGCTAGAGGCTCGAGGTTTAAATTCCTCGATCGGGAGAGACAAGCAATGGATCTAGATTCGAAGCTCGACGATCGAAGATTTCCTGAGTGTCTGGAGCCCTCCAGGCATTCAGGAAGCGACTGAACATCGACTTGTCCGGAGCATCTGCGACTTCTTCGGCGTGTCATAGGAATGCCCCTTACTTCCTCAAAGGATGGACTCAACCACCGGAGGAGGCGGAAGAGGAGGAAAGGAGGAGGAATGGATGGGTAGGGATAAACCTTGGAGGTGGCAGATGAAAAGCCAGACGACACTTTTCTCCCTACCTCCTCCGATGAGCAGCGGTACTGAAGCAAACGATGATGTATTGTTTTGCAGGGGAAGCGTCTGGTACAAGGCGCATGGCGCGAAGCGCCAATGCAGTCTTGTGTATATATATATATATATACACACTGAAATGCACACACATATACACACATGTATGTTTATTGATTGATGCTCCTCCTCCACACCCCCATCTTGCTTCGGTGGAGGGCGCCATGCAATTCACAGAAGGCGGCATCCGAACCCTACAACCGCCGCCCATCGAGTTGCCTGAATCGTTGATTGTCGATGATAGGGTTCGGATTTCGCCGCCGAGTTCACTGACTGAGATTGGAGGCGGCTGGGCGGTCTGAACTGGATGGGCCTTGACAAAATCTGCACGAAGGGGAGACAAGGCCAAATACGCTCAAAATCGATGCCTGGACCCCTCCGGGGGCACATCTGGTGCAACACTTCACCCCGGATCCCTTTCGGACGGACCTGGGGTCTGCAAACGGCCCCCGGAGGCCAAGGAGAGGCAAAAACCCCTGTCCGCAGCCAGCACCTCGAGGATCGAGGATCGGCCCCCGAGGATCGAGGATCGACCTTCGAGGATCGAGGATCGGCCTTCGAGGATCGAGGATCGACCGGCTTTCTCGAGGATCGAGGATTGAGGATCGACCTTCGAGGATCGAGGACCGACCTTCGGGGATCGTGCTTCCTGCTCGCTGGAACCAGTGCTGGGCCACCTCGGACCCCCAGCGGGCTCCCAGACTGAGGGACTCTCGGCGCGGCGCCCCAGCTCTGGCGCTGCTTCAGCTGCTCCTCCGACTGCTCGTCCAAGACCTCTCGGGGGGCGTCCGAGGGGGAGGCGTCCAAGAGGCGGGTCCGCACATCGTGGCCCGAGGCACGCGCGCAGACGAGGGGGGTGACCAGGCGACGCATTGACAGAAAACGAGGGGGGTCTGAGACCCTGGAGGTCTCATGGCCCTGGCCTGGACCCCCCCCCCTACAGCCACTATGCTGCGGTGAGAGCGCAGGCTGAGGAACGAAGGGGCTGTTCCAGCCACGGCGGGTCTACAGTCAACCAGTATAGCAAGGATGCGCGATAAGGATGCAAGGGCCTTGGACGCCCATTTCGAAGCTTTTCGAGCGGGGCGCGGCCAGCGAAAGCGGCGAAGGATGGACCGAGGAGGCAGGGATGCAAGGGTACCCTTGGGAAGGTTGCCCATCCTTACTATGCGGGTTGACTGTAGTAGGCCACAAACACTCTCCACGACACAAACCAAGAAGAGCGGCCCGAAAACCCGAACCCCTCCTGAGCCAAAGGCGGTCCTTACA